GAAATAGAGGACTTCTAAGCATTCCTGATGAAAAGACTGGAACTGAATAGAAAATCTGACATTCAAACACAAGACTGATGAGAAGCATAAAAAGGTAAACATGAAAGAGTAATCAAAAGGAATAAGGTTAAACTGTTTACATTCCTGTATGGGAAGATGATGCACATAATTCCTAAGAACTTTATTATTATTAAGGCAGTTAGAAGGAGTCTACATAGACAGAGTGCAGTGAGTGTGTATCAATTATTTTTAGATGAGCTCCCTCCCCCCCCCCAAAAAAGAAAAGGAAGTGGTGAGACAGAGGGATACACTGAGAGAAGGGGGAAGGGATAGGTAGAATGGTGGAAATTTTCTCACATAATAAAGGCTCATAAGGAAAAACTTTTACAATGGAGGGGAAATGGGGGGATGGGGATGGCAGGCAATGCTTGAACCTTACTCTCCTCTGAACTGATTCAAAGAAGGAAGAATATATATACACATTCAATTGTGTATGGAAATGTAACTTATCCAAAAAGGAAATAGGAGGGGACAGGGATAAGAGAAAGGGGAGAGAATGATAAAAGGGAGGGAAGATTAAGGGAGGCAGTAGTCAGAAGCAAAACAGACTTTTGAAGAGGGACAGTATAAAAAGAGAGACAGAAGAGGAAATAGAAGAAAATGAAATGGCGTTAGTAAGTACAACTATAAATGTGAACTGGATGAGCTCACCCATAAAACAGAAGCAAATAGCAAAATGGATTAGAAACCAGAAACCAGTAATATGCTGTTTTCAAGAGACACACTGGAAACAGAAAGACACATACAGAGTTAAAATAAAGGGCTGGAGTAGAACCTAGTATGTTTTAGCTGAAGAAAAAAACACAGAGATAGCAATCATAATCTCAGACAAAGGAAAAGCAAAAATAGACCAGGGAAACTACATTTTGCTAAAATGTACCACAGACAATGAAACAACATCAAAATTTTTTACAGCAAGTTTCTCTAATAAAGGCCTCATTTCTCAAATATATAGAGAACTGAGTCAAAGTTATAAAAATAAGAGGCATTGTCCAATTGATAAATGGTCAAAGGATATGAACAGGCAGTTTTCAGACAAAGAAATCAAAACTATCTATAGGATATGAAAAAATACTCTAAATCACTACTGATTAGAGAAATGCAAATGAAAACAACTCTGAGGTCTCACCTCACACCTGTCAAAAATGATAAATGCTGTAGGGCATGGAGGAAAATAGGCATACTAATGTACTAATATTATAGTTCAAACCATTCTGGAGAACAAGTTGGAACTATGCCCAAAGGGTGATAAAGTTGTCCATACCCTTTGACTGAGCAATGACTCTACTAGATCTGTGCCCCAAAGTGGTCAAAGAAAAAGGAAAACGACGTAGAAATACACAAAAATATTTATAGCAGTTCTTTATGTAGTGGCAAAGAACTTAAAAATTGAGGGGATGCTCATCAATTGGGGAATGGCTAAACAAGTTGTCGCATATGATTGTGATGAAGTACTATTGTGCTATAAGAAATGATGAAGGGACAGGGCAGCTAGGAAGACCTGAGTTCTAATGTAGCCTCAGACCAAACACTTGACACTTACTAGCTGTGTGACTCTGGGCAAGTCACTTAACCCCAGTTGCCTCATGCCCCACCAACCCACCCCCAAAAAAAGAAATGATGAAGGGGTGGTTTCAGAAAAACATGGAAAAACCTATATGAACTGATGCAAAGTGAAGTTTGAAGACTGGGAGATCATTGTACACAGTAACAGCAGTATTGTAATGATGATCAACTGTGAAAGACTTGACCATTCCAATCAATACAATGATCCAAGACAATTCCAAAGGGCTCATGATGGGAAAAAATGCTATCTGCCTCCAGAGAGAGAGAACTAATCAATTCTGAGTACAAATTGAAGTATAATTTTCACACTTTAAAAATTTTTTTTAATATGGCAGTATGGAAATATGTTTTGCATGATTTCATATGTACAACTGATATCATATTGCTTGCCTTTGCAGTGGGTAGGAGAGGGGATGGGAGGGGAAGAATCTGGAACTCAAAATTTGAAAAGGAAAGAATATTAAAAATAAATCAATAATAAATCTGAAAAAGATAAATATAATTCCAAAATATTATAGCACCTTAAGAATTTCCATCAAAAATCCCTGAAAAGGTTAGAGGAAAGGATAAAATAAAATAAAATACTTCACATTCTCTATTCTGACACCTAGGTGACATGGAGAATAAAGCACTAAGCCTGGAGTCAGGAAGACCTGAGTTCAAACATCAAGATAGTAGTGCCTCACACACAAAGCTGGGTGACTCCGTGCAAGTCATGTGACCTGCTTACTTCAGTTTCCTCAACTGTAAAATGGAGGTGGTAATAGTACCTACCTCCCAGGGGTGTTGTGAGGATAAAATAAAGTGCTTTGCAAACCTTAAAGGTCTACGTAAACACCAGCTATTATTCTCAGTGACACAAAATTTTAAATCCCCCCCCCCAAGAAGAGTAAACTTTATTTTAAAGTAGTCTTACCTCATCAAGATCTTTGGCTTCTCTACCCAATTCATCATCATCTTCATCAGAATCTAGCTCTGGTCCAATATAATTCCCAAACTCATCATAGAGATCTGTGTCCATGATGCTAAATGTCCAGAAGAAAACAAAAAACATGAGTAATCTCTGGGCAGGCAAAGAAGAGGTGAGTACTATATGTTCCCTTTCCTGGCCATGACTGACTATCTTTAAACTAGTCTCCATTTCAGTGTAAAATGAACAGTTACATCTATCTGGAACTGTTTATTTTTTGCCCCTCCCTAGTTCTGTTATGCTAGCTGCTGGGCAAAATAAAATCACCATGCTATATGTTCCTTGAAGACCAATTAATAAAACTCCCTGTGTATTTTTGTACTATTTCTCCTACAGATTCTTTCAAGCTTCCCACCCCAAGAAACACCAACCAACCATCTCCTATTTTCTAAGATAAACCCATCTGATGTAAACCCTGTAAGGTTTAAATGTACTATCTGGTTCTCTAGAATTTTTACACCTTCAAAATACTTTAAGATCTGATCCCATTTTATCCAAACTTGTAAGCTCCATGCGGACAAGAATTGATTCATTTACGTTTTGCATCTCTCCAGCAAACAGCAAAGTGCCTTTCACACGGAAAGTACTTAATAAATATTTCTTGAATTATATATATGGTAAGTGTTGGTTAGTCGGTTAGTTTTATTCAGCTACTTTTTTTCCTCCCTCTTTCTTTTCTCTTCTTTGACATGAGGGAGGGGTAAGTGGATAACAAAGGTATACATTTGGAAGTGTAGGCAACGTAAAAACAAAAGACATCAACAAAAATTTTAAATCAAACATTTGTTGAATCAACTTCCAGTGAAGGCATGAACATGCCTGTGCTTCCCTTAACTAAGCTTCTACTCCAGTGTCCCAGGCAGGTACTTGTCAGGCTAGAAAAATTTCTTGTACTAAGCACAATTCAAGGATCAGATTAATTTAATATTCGTCACCAGAAAGTACGTTATGTAGTAAATCACCAAACCATGACTTATTTTTTTGTTTTTTAGCTAGGGTAAGATATTAAGGTTTCTTCCAAGGTATGCCAGGATTTAAATACAGGATATATATGAATGAGAGAACATATCTTCTATGTATTAGGGGGCCAGCACTGTGTAGAGGGCATCTCAAAAGCTAATGAAGCTTAAAGGTACTACTCAATAGCACTCTTCGTAACAGAAGCAGACTTCTAAATGAAGGCCTTGGATTCACCGCTCTAACACTGATTAGCGAGACAAGCTACTGTAGTCAGGAAGACCTGAGTTCAAATGTGCCTACGAAACTTACTAGCTGTGTATGACTTTGGATAAGTCACAACCTCTGTAGCCTCATTTTCTTCATCTGTAAAATGGGGATAATAATAGCACCTACCTCAGAGGATTGCTGTGAGGAACAAATAAGGTAACACATGTAAAGCTCTTTATAAATCTTAAAGTGCTTTATAAATGAAGATGGTGATGGTGATGATGTCACAACTTCTCAGGATCTCATTAGTCACATAGGGATGAAGTACCTAAGACTTCTGAGTTATGGGGGGAGAGCGGGGAAGAAAGCAGTGTGTAAAACCTTAAAGCACTTGATAAAATGTACATTATTGCTCATTTAATTCAACAAATACTTATTTAAAGCGTCTACTAAGTACCATGTACTGGAGATAGAAAAAAAGGAGGGAAATTAAACATTTGTAAAGCGCTTACTACGTGCACCGTGCAAAGACACAGAACCAAAAATAACAAGTCTCTGCCCTCAAGAAGCTTCCATTCTATTAAGGGGCACGCAGCAGTGAGGAAACCTGCCCACGGTTACAACCAGGCCAATCAGTGACACGCCGGTCCCTCCCCACCACCGCCAGGCCCGGTCCACTCATCCCCCCTTTCTCGTGGGAGACCGAGACCCTGGGCCGGGGAGAGTCCGGTCGTTCCCCCAGGCCTCAGTTTCCTCCTCTGCAGGATGATACTTTTTTTAAGGTCCACCCCTTCCACATCTGCCAGCCTCGGATCCCATCCGGTCAAGTCTACTCGCCGAGTTCGGGGGCCCATAACTCCTCACCTGCAGCTTCAGCTCCCAATTCCGATACAGCGCTCGCTGCGTCCGAAGATGTGCCGGCGCCTGCGACGCTCGTTAGGAAGGACCCCGCGCGGCGTCGAGGCCACGCCCCTTTCCGCCGCCTTCAGCCCCTCTGCCAGAGTTGCCGGAGTAGGATAATCCTATTCCGGGGCGAAGGGGTGCTTTGAGGGGGAGCACTGCGACAGGTCGGACGTGAAAGAGTAACGGCCTCGGCGAGGCCGAGCGAGCCAGCGCGGCGTTCGTCTTATCAGGCGTCCCTAGGGCAGCTCGGACGGGGAGAGGCCTTCAGCACGATCACGTGGGCCGCTTGAGTCAAACGGTTGCTAGGCAACCGTCTCAGCGTGGCTATAGCCTGAACTGCAGCTGCTGGGCAAGAGAAAAATTAGGATTTTCCTTGGGTTTGGGGGGGTTAGAGGGTAGCGACGACTGACCAGGAGCTTGGGGTAGGTAGGTTCGCGTTCTGCTCTGCTAGTTCTAGGGACAGTTGGAACTGGGTCGGGAGCAGGACGCCTGGGCTCCGTGTGGTCTCAGTTTACATGCACGCAGGGTGGGGTATGGGGGGGGGAGTGTCGATGTCCCCGGCTCTCCCGCCCCCCGGTTTAACTTTTGGGATGGGCCCTTTTTGGTGGTGGCGGAAGATCCTCGGTGAAGTGGGAGAATGCTTGATCTGGGGTCAGTCTACCTGTATCACCTTGGACGAGCTGTTCAGTCTCTCAGTTCCCCCAAATGAGAGGCTTGGACAGGATAAGCTCTGAAAGACCCTTCCAAAGAGAGGCTTGGACCGGATGAGTTTTGTAGGTGTTTTACAGATCTTAATCTGTCGGTCTTTGCTGAGAGCGAGGGAGGCCACAGTAGTGTTGAGCCTTCAGGGTAGCTCCATCATCTCAGAGGTGCAGGGTGCCAGTTGCACTGAGACCCGGGAAGGAAAGGGTAGAAGGGTCTAGCCACAAAGGTATCCAAATCGAGTAAAAGGAAAAGTTTCCCTTCATCCATTCTCCTGCCACAGTTCAATTCAGGGAATGTTTATGAAGTGTCTAATATGTGCAAGACACCAGCCTCTAGGCATTGGTTTTTCACTAGTCCACATCCACCCCTGCTGCTACAAGGTGTCCACTGAGTTGGAACCACGTGATGCCAGCTACTCCAACAGAGAGGAAGTCTCCAAGGTCATGAAGCATCCATCCTAACCAATTCTTTCTGATACTCTTACATCACCTCCTAGCTCAGTTGTTACAAATGAGGAGGCTGGAAAGTGTCATCCACCCCCTTAGAAAATTCAGCCAACAATTGTGTGGTTCTACTCCCACCCCAACACTACATCTGATTTGGATGGACAGAACTTGAAATTTATCCTAGGCTCAAAAGGAGCTATAGTCACATCTGCTGCGTGAAGCCATCTGCCCTTCATTATTAACAGCCCACTCCAAAGAGAGTTCTTAGCAGGGACTCCCTAAGGTCTGAATTCTGAAGTGCCTTCAGTTTCAAATGGCTTTTCAAAACCACTGCTTCAATAAAGAGACTGACTGGCCATTTAGTCTTTAGTCTAGAGGCTGGTCTAGATGGGAATATCAACTTAGAAGTCCTCAAGAGTGGATAGAATAGGAGACTTGGAGTCAGGATGATCTGAGTTCAAATACTGCCTCAGATACATACTACATGTGTGATCCTGGACAAGTCATTTGCTTTCTCTGAGCCTCAGTTTCCTTATCCATAAAATGGTGATAGTATTTACTTCACAGTGTTGTTGTGGGATATGTAGGTATAATGTATATGTATAGACAATGTGTGTGTAAAGCCTTTTGTAAACCTTAAAGAATTATATAAGCATTGTCTATTATTATTCCCAGTGAAACAATGGAGTGATTTGGGATCTTGGACCATTGCTACATGTCTTAGATCTTTTCTCTTTAAAATGAGGAGACTTAACTTTTATACTCTTCCCTTTGAGATAAGTGATAATTTGGACAATGTGCTTTAACTTTTTTAGAATGGCAAAGCATTATCGTGATGAGTAGTTTCTTTCCCTGGTAATATCTCATTGCTGGGCTTCACCCTTTTTTCACTCCCAGGCTCCAGACATGGAAAAGACTGATACCATTGACTTTAGGGCTCTGGAGAAGGAGTTGCAGGCCGCACTAGCTGCTGACGAGAAATACCGAAGAGAGAATGCTGCCAAGTTCCGGGCTGTGGAACAGAAGGTGGCTTCCTATGAAGAGTTCAGGTTGGCTTACATAACTTTTTCCCAGAGCTGTCCTCCCTATGTTCTGTGGCCCAGTTAGCTTAGACAGTTATAGCACCATGCTCATGCAGCGGAAGTTACAGGGTTCAGGAGACATTAGGCAGCAGCTTCATACCTCCACACCCAGCCTGGTGATTTTTCCCTTAAATACTGTCTACTTTGCCCACAGGGACATTGTCCTTGCCTCACACCTGAAGCCTTTAGCGAGGAAGGACAAAATGAGTGTCAAGAAGACAGTGCTTTGGAACTGCCATGTGACAAGTACCACTGCCCAGACAGGTGTTACTCAGGAGGAGAGCACTTATATCTCCCAGGTGAAATAGCCATTCTACAGTCCATTAGGGAACCCTAACCCTAACTTGTAATACATCTCTTTCTTAATTAACTAATTCACAAAACTTTTACAGAGCTATAACTAGCAGAAACTGCTCCTAGACAAAATGCAACCCAATCAGTCAATAAACACTTATTAAGCGTCTACTGTGTGCTAGGCACTGAGCTAAGTGCTGGGAGTAGGTGGGCTTCGGGGGCTCAGTGACCCAGATGACAGCCTGCTAAGCACATGTAGTGTAAAGTACAGTCCCACTGGAATATGCAGTCATACTTAAAGGGGATGGCCCATCTTTCAAGAGTTCCAAGGGGACATTTGTGCCCTAGGCATTCTGACGATTTCAAAGAAAGGTATGGAAACATGTCTCTGGGGAAGAGGCATGTAAACCCTACCATGCCATTGCCTTGGGGGAAAGCCCCATTCCCCTTTTACTCAAGAAATCCCATTCATTCAGGTATAGGGTATATAGACTCTTTGGCTGTGATAAGTACAGGGTAAAGAGCCAAGTCATGATTTGGATAAAAAGACAGGTCTGTCAGGATTCAGCCAATCAGAGCTGTCTCTTAGATTCTGTAACCTTGGCCAGGCTCTCTGTACTCTATGGAGCAGAGGTACTAAACTCAAATAGAAATAGATCCCTGCAGGGGATCCACAGAGAAACCACAAATTAACATTGTCTATGTTGTATTGCATTTTCCCAGTTCAACAACTGTTTACAGAGCTGTAACTAGCAGAAACTGCACCAAATTCAATTGAGGGAGTAAGGGGGCTACAGGAGCTCAATGTCCCAAAGGACAATTCTGCTAAGGACACATAGTATAAAGTACAGTTCCATTGCATGTGCAGTCATTATGGTTTGGATGAAGAGACAGGATCAGTCAACTCTCAGCCAATTAGACCTACGTCTAGGATTCTGAGTCCTGTGGCCTATCTCTCTTCCCATCTTAGAATATGCTATATCCACATACTGTAAATTTCCACTAGATGATTCTAAATCATTTTGTTAATTCAATACCCTAATCCCCAAGATCCTACTTGTGCCTAAGAAGGGGCAAATTTAAAATAACTTATTTCATAAGAGGAAGTTGAGGCCCACAAAGGGTCATGTTTTTCCTAAGATGAAAATTGAGTCAGTAGAAAAACTAGGAACAGAGCCTGTGAATGTTGATTCCTCAGTGTCCTGAGGACCTAACTCTTTTCACTTTTCCCTTTGACCTAGAGGGGAGATTGTCAGCCTGAGACATCATCAGATTTCTACAGGGCTTGGCGCCACTACCTACAGAGTGGAGCAGAGCGTTACCAGGCCCTCCTACAGCTTGGGGCCCCCAACCTGGGCCACCTTTTCCGGGTAGATGTGGGTTTTGGACTTCTGGGTGAACTGCTTATGACATTGGCAGAGAATTTTAAGCCAGCTGACCGTGCTGCTGTACTGGAGATCCTTCATAGTCTATCCAAAACTGGCCGATTTGGCCTCAACCTGAGTCTGCTGAGCAATGCTGAGAGAGAAAGTTGCCAAAAATTATTTCAGAAACTCCAAAGTATGGATGTTACCAGGCCCACAGAAGAAGAACTGAGCTGTAAGGGGCAGGAGCTAGAGAAAAAACACAGTGGGAATGATGGGGATGAGAAACTCCTCCAGGAGCTATCAGAGCTATACCAAATTGGCCAGAGATGTTATCTTTCTCAGAACAAACAGCAAACCTAACTATCTATTGGAGGTTTGTTTTTCCTAGACAGTCTTTAATATTGTTGGCCATCTTGCTGCCTGACCCCAAACTTTTCATTTTAGCTTTGTCCCTCCAGAACTGTGGCAAAAGGTTGGTGTCATCCAAAGGTTCTTATGAGAGCACTAGGAAACTACAAGAAATGTTACTTCTCATCCTTAAAACCTGCTAAGAATGGCGCCCTTGCCCTAAGATTAAAATCCTCCACCCTAGTGTTTACCGCCAACCCATGCAAGCAGAGTTTTAAAATCTGTGATTAATTATGTCCATTAGTATCTATAAGGATTTACTCCATGCCAATAAAGACATTTTATTGACAGACTTTGACACCTTATTTGGGGGAGAGGAAGACACCATTTTTTCCAAGAATTGAGTTTTTCTGATTTGGGCTATGGGGAATCCTGAGTCATCAGTAGTGCTTTGTCAGGCTACCCAGGCTTTTGAGGGTGGTTCAGAATTGCCAGGCTATAGACATACTTATCCATACTTCTTCTCGAGGATTTATGAAAGAGAAAAACTTTGTTCCCAAAGAGATAGGGTGAATGCTGTGGGAGAAAAGCTATCAACAAGCACTTAAGAAATGTCTGCTATGTTTCAGGCACTGGACGTGCAATATAAGAAATGAAACGAAGGAGTTTATGTTCCATCAGGAAAACTACTTTTATATGAGCAGGTAGCTAGGTAGGGCAGTCTCAGTTGAGAGGATCTGGAAAGACTTTGTGTAGAAGGTGGTATGGGCTTGAAGCAAGGGGTTCTAAAAGGCAGACGTCCAGAGGGGGCACATTCTGGGCATGGGGAGAGGCAATTACAAAGGCACAGAGAGGGAAGATGGTGCCAAGTGTGAAAAATTTTAAAAAGGGCAATTTGACCAGGCTAGCATGCAGGAAGGGGAGTAATATATAATGGAGCTGGAAAGATAGATTGGGTCTAGGTTGTGAAGGTCTTGAAAAGCTAACCAGTCTTATCCTAGAGACAATGGGGAGCCACTGAAGTTTATTGACTGAGGGAGTAACATTGTCAGACCTGAGTATAAGGAAAATCACTTTGGCGTCTTTGTGGAAGTTGGATTAATGTGGGGAGAGACTTGAGTCAGGAACATCAATAAAGAGGCTAATGCAATAGTTCAGGGAAGAGGTGATGAGGACCTGAATTAAGATGATGCCTCTGTGAAGAGAAAGGAGGAGTCATATGCAGGAGATATTATGGAGGTACACATAGCAAGATTTGTCAACTTATTGGATATATGGGGGAAGGGTGAGGTACAGGAGTCAAGTATAACTCTGAGCTTATGAACCTTGGAGAATGGAAAAATTATAGTGCCTTTGACAGGAGTACAGAAGGTTTTGGGGGAAGGATGATGAATTTCATTCTGGACTTGTTGAGTAGAAATGCCTGTGAGACATCCTGTTTGAAATGTCCACTAAGTAGTTGATGTATGAATGAAGCTCTGGGGAGACACCAGGGCTGGATGTATGGATCTATGAGCCATCTGCATGGAGGTAATCATTGAACCCAGGAGAGCTGATGACATCATCGAAAAGAGGAGAGGAGAAACATCCAGAGTTAGGGAGTATGATTACGGGTGGTGAGCCAGCAAAGGAAACTGAGGAGCAGTCAGAGAGGTACTGTGAGATGAGAACCAGGAGAGAGAAATATCTTGAAATCCTTGAGAGGTCAGAGCATCTCTCTGTGGTCAACAGTGTCCAGTGCAGCAGAAAGGTCAAGAAGGAAGAACACTGAAGTGACACCATCACATCTGGTCACCATCCCAACACCTCCACACAGGCATTCTAGAACATAAAGAAAGAACTGGTTCTAGAATGATTTTTTCATGAGATAGGATCAGGTCTAGAGAAACATTCTAATTTTCAGTAGGTATGAAAAAGGGAAACATTTCTAGTTGGAATCTGCTTTCTCTACAGAAAGGTCCTTCCTTAAGAGCTGAGCTGGGAGAGTGATTCCCTGTTAACCCTCCCCCCATACATGAAAACAATTGTTGGGAGGCCTCTAAGCCCAAAGTTCTTTAGCCTCTTGGTTTTACTCCTTTACTCCTCCTTCCCATCTAGCTCTTTGGCTTTACCAATATGGGCCTGGTCCACACCCCTCTGCTACTGCTTTGGAGTTGGGGAAGTCTCCAGGCTTTTGAATTGGTAGAAAAGGAGAATGTTTTTCAGAAGACCCCTTGTCCTGCCTTCTTGATGTTTGATAATGCAGCTTACCTGACCGACATGAGCTTTGAGCTCCCCTGTCACTGCAAGCCTGAGGAGGTGGCCGCCGTAGTCTGGTACTACCAGGAGCAACTAGGGAGCCACCACACCAGAGTCCTGACAGATTTTGATGGGCGGGTGGTGGTTGATTCGGGACAAGTGCGAGTGGGCAGCAGCATGCTGGCCCGCTTCAGCATCCGAATGTTCAGCTTACTGGTGTTCCGGGCACAGCCTGAAGACTCAGGGCTCTACCTCTGTGGGACACGCCACGGTGACTATTTCTACGGCTACGACGTGGACATACAAAGCAGTCGAAAGATGGTAGCAGTGTTCGTTGACCAAGGCCAGAAGCCTCCTGTGGATGAGGAGCACGGGGACCTCCACATCTTCACTACCTTCTGGGAGTGGACCCACTGTGATCGCTGTGGTGTTCGGGGGGAACAATGGCGGATCGGGCTCTGCTACCTGAATAAACCAGGCCTTCCCCCCCGGTTCCGAAAGAGTGTGCCCGATGTGATATCTTGTGGCTCCCAGGCAGTGCCAAGAAAACTGCGAAATATGGCAGGAAACCACCGTCCCCCTGAGCTGATGATCCGGAGCTGCATGGTCCCCTGCAAGAAGAAGTCACAGGTGGGACTGATGGCCATCTACACTTTTGTCTCCAAGCTAGGCAGCAAACCCTGGATTCCCAAAGTGCCCATTCAGCTCCACCAACAGAAGCTTGGCCATGGGCTTATCATCTCCTGCCCTGGGGCTCGTCCAGAACATGCTGTAGCCTGGGACAAGGACCACCTCCGTCTATACCGCACCAGCTTCCTGAAGGGGGTCAACCGATCCATGAGGATATTCATTGACCATGGCAATCAATTCCATATCCGATTCACCCAGTTGAATGACAGGGGAACCTATTACTGTTGGCGAGAGGGGGAGATGATAGCTGGCTTCCGGGTGGCTGTGACATCTCGGGGTCGCTACCATGCTTCTCTCTCTGACCCTGAGACCCGATATGCCCTACAGGCTGCCCTGGTGGGCTATGTGTTCCTTACACTTGTCTTCATCCTTATCCACTTATGCCGCTGCTGCTGTTACTTCTTTACTTGCTGCCCTGATATATAGGCTTTTCCCTTAGACCTTAAAGACCAATTATTTATTAAATATATTAGTTAAATGGTTAGAGTTCTAATGATATTGCACTATGGGTGGGAAGTGGAGACTAGGGAAGCAGTTGGTTATAACTCCCCAGTCTACTATTGAATGAACAGTATCATTAGCATGGACTAGGCAAATGGATGGAGAAGAGATGAGGGTCTGGGTTCAGGCACCAACTTGCTCTCCCTTCCCCTAAAGTAGGTGTGTGTGGAATCAGAGCCAAGAGATGGGGTCTTGGAGCTCTCCTTAAAAGATGGTCAAGTAGGCATTGGTTTGGTGAAGAAAATAGAGATGGCTGTGTTGATGGGGGAAATTTGGGGAGCTGATTGATTCTTTTGGAGAAGACCTCAATGGCTATTGATTTAAAAAAAGTTTAAAAATATCTTTTGTTTATAAACTACCTTCATTAGTTAAATGTAAGAAGTCCTAATGGTACTGCATCATGGATGGGAAGTGGAGAGCAGGAAGCAGGAACACACACTGTTGTTGTAACTCCCAAACCTACTATTGAATGAACAGTATCATTAGCATAGACTAGGGAAATGGAGAGGAGATAAAGGTCTGGGGTCAGGGTGATTGTGTTAAGGCTGGCACTGTCTTACTCCATACTTAAACCTGCTCTCCCCTCCCCTATGGGAGATGTGTATGGTGTTAGAGCCATGGGCTCCCTTCCTTTTCTCCTATCCAGTGACCTTCCTTTGTAACACATCATTAAAAAGTAGGGGAAAAAAGCAGCCCACTAAAGCCAACTAAACACATCAAGTGTGTCTGACAGTATATGTGATAGTACACACATCCATGGTCTCTCATCTCTGCAAAGGGAGATGCAGCTACACCCAGCCTCCACCCTACCACAGGTGGCCATAGTTGGCTCGGTCGGGCAGGGGGAAATGGAGGACTGGGACAATGAGAAGAGATTAGAAAACAAGGTAGGGGTCCTAAGTGAGTGATAATGAGACAAAGTTGTTTAGGCCTTTTCTGGGCCATGAACTAGGCAAGGTTGTGATGGGAGACATGATTCACAGGCTGACATGTGAACATAAGGTGAGATTGGTTGAAAAGGAGGTTGGTTATTGGGCCTATGTGGGGACTCAGATCTGAGAACTAGCACAGAGAGTCCTGGTTACACCCTAATTGGGGATGGAATTGGGGAAATTGGTGTGGGATAGGAACCGGAGGAAAGGAGGAAAGAATCGCTGGTGGCTCCTGGCTATGATGGAATCCAGGGCTAGGGGAGACGGCAAAGTTTGCTCCTGCCTCAGTTCATGGTGCCTCCCTCTCAAATACAAATCAGGTGCTCACTCCAGGGAATGCAGATCACACTTTATTATTTATCCTCTGCAACTGACTAGATTAAAGTCAGCAATGGCGAAGCAGTGAAGTGACGGAGCTAAGGAAAAGGCACGGTCGAAGGAAGCTTGAGAAAGAGGGAAGCTTCTCCATTATCTTCCAAGGTCTGGCCTGTTGGTGTGAAGTGGGGGTCTTGAAACAAATGCCCCCAGATCCCTTTTTAGGCTCCACATATTATTCCACTACCAACCCTATACCCAGCAAAGCCTTCTAAGAATGCCAAGGAGACACACCGGGCCAAGAGCTGCTTTTAAATCTAAGCCTCTTCAGCCTAATCTGTTCCCCTGATTCTACTCCTTAGTTTTTCTCATTTTTAAAAATGGGGCCCAGGCTGATGTGATTGGTGGGAGCAAGGGAGGGAGGGAGGTGCTGCAGAAGATCATTAACACGTTAGAAATACAGCTAGTCAGCAACGTGTGAGAGAAGGACGGAGGATAGGTATTGCTATCATTCAAGCAGCCTCTGCAGTGTGTAGGGAGCCCCCCACAGTACCGAGCATGTGTTTGTGGGCCGGGGGAATTATTGGGGAAAAGGAACATTCTACTAAGTTTGGCTTGAGAGCCTAAAGTTTAAACTTATACCAGGAAATTAGAAATTATATACCCTCCTATTTGAATTTATGAGAGGGAGAGAAGGCAGGGGAAGTCAGGATCAAAATCCAATTTATATAGAAAAAAATGTAAAAAGATGGAGGAAGATGAAGGGCTGTGGAGGTGGGGTGGTATAAAAAGAACTGTGAGACCTTGACTGGGCAAGAAAGGGGCCTTGGAAATACACTACAAGCTCCCCTAAGCTTGGTGGTCTCTCTAGCTGTACTTTCCCCAACAGAATCTGGCATGGGGAAGAGGATGTTAACTTCTTAATTGCCGTGTTCCAGAGGCCAGATGAAGCAACTAGTGAAGCATGAGAGGAATTCTGATCTGTGCTTTGTTCACTTAGCTCCAACTGAGGAAAGGGGGAGAGGGAGTGAAGGTTTGATTGAACTAGTTTTCCACCCCCAGGCTTCTTGCAGATCAGAATCTTGTCTCCATTCGAACTTCTTCAGGCCCCTCCTGACCCAAACTGGGAATTATTTGTACAACTCTCTCTCTTCCCTCCGTATCTCTGATCCCCTTTCTCCCTCCACATCCACCAGAGACTTTCCTACACCAAAAAATACTCTGCCTCCTCTCCCTCCCTCCCAATTTGAAGCTCTAAGAATGGAACTCCAAATGGCTTTCTCCAAGTGGAGCACTTTCCAGACCTTAATCTTCATAAATGGTTCGACTGCAACCACACCTGGGTGGTGGGGGTGGAGGTAGAGTGTGTGTGTGTGTGGGGGGTACTGCAATGCTGATTCTCTGGACATCTATGATCCTAAGACCTATGAGTAACAAGTGCAGCATACTGTGTTAACAATGAAGTCAACTAGAAGTCAACTGGGGTATTTTATTCTCCTGGAACTTAGAAGACAAAGGAAGAGAGTATTGGATTTGGAGTCAAGAGAGCTGGGTTCAGATCCTGATTCTAAAACTAGCTGTGTGAACTTAGGCTCTCTGAGCCTCAGTTTACTCTTCTTTAAAATTGGGATAATGGTTCTGTCTCCCTCACAGACTTCGTGCAAGCAAGAGTGAATAATAAACCTTAAATATAAATATATATGTGAATTATATAAGGGTGAGTTATAATGATTAATAACTACCTCCATGAATATCCCCAGCCTCTCCCAGGTCAGGGCCAGAGAACAGGAGATCAACCTCTTGCCTTGACCTGAGGACCCCTGCTTTCCCCTCACTAAGTCTTATTTTTTCTCCTGAAGCCTGATAATAAGGGGCCCAGACAACTCCCGCTCCCATCCCCACAAGCTCCAACACCACCCTTCCCTTCCCCTAGTCTAGGAATGACAGCTCTGGGCTTCCTGGTGCCCTGGCACTAGTTACCATAGAAACAAGGATGTGGGGAGGGTCAAGGGGGAGCAACCTCCAGCAATGTTCTCCTCTCTGCTTCAATCTCCTCCCTGCTAACCTAAACTGAACTTATTTCTAAGCATCTCTAACGTCATCCCCTTATGATTAGCGCCAGAAATACAGACACTAGAGGCTCATCCTGTCCAGTTAGTAGGAAAGGACACTGGAGAAGCGGAGAAACTGTGACAAGTGTAGCATCAGCCCTAATGCTGATGGGGCCCAAGACAAACAAAGCTGGCCGAGGGGCTGGGGCTGGGGCTGGGGGAGGGGAGGAGGCCGAGTGCTATGAGACTTGTATCTGGATAAATCGCCTATCCTACAACTTCTCACTTAGGGACCAAGGCAGCTACTCTGCCTCCTGTTGTAGGGGCTTCTGGGTGTGGCCCTCTTCACACATCTTTGTGCTCCTGCGTAGACTCCTTAATGACCTAGATGAAGAGAGAAAGGACACGTTTGGTGGAAAGGAAAGATGAGGCACAGTTAGCTCAAGGACCTTTTCCCTGATTTAGGAAACTGCAGCCCATCTCTCCAGACTTCCCCTTCCTACTTGCATCTGAGCCAAATATGGGAAGGAGACATGCACATAATTCCTTTACTCTTAACTGGGATCATCCATCTAATGGCCTGTATTCCCCGGGTTCATTCAGATTCTGGTTCTAACACTAGCTGTGTGATCTTGGGCAAATTATCTAGGCACTCTGAGCCTCAGCCTACTCTTCTTTAAAATAGGGATAATATTTCTGCCTACAGATTACGAATATAGTCTTAGAGCCAAATTCGAAAGAAGAGGAAGAGAGGACAACAGCCTGGGTTTCTGTCTTCTGATTGCTTTCCCTTCCACATTGTCCGTCCCCATAAGACACAGACTACTGGTCCCCCCTCCATCTTGGGCCCTTGGGAAACCCCTCGATACTGAATTCTCATGGTACTTGGCTGGTGGGAAGGGTTCCTTCCGGACTTCCAGTCAGTTACCTCTCCGTCACGCATCTCGACAGTCTTTACGACAATGCTCCTCTTGAGATGCCCCTCTGACACAGACTTGGTGTCCAGGCTGGTCTCTACAGGCAAGAAAAGGGCTACATTCTTATGGGCAGGCACTCTAGGCATCAGGGCCCCTATCTACGTTACTCCACCACCTACCCCCAGTCATACAAGCTGAGCCCCAAGGCAATATTCCATTCTTCTGCCGCCCCCAAGAAAAAAAATAACTCCTAGCACAGAAGTGGAGGACAAAGGTCACCGACTCACAGAAAGAATGAATCAGAGGGGCAGCTAGATGGCATAGTGGATAGAGCACCAGCCCAGGAGGACCTGAGTTCAAATCCGGGCTCAGACACATGATACTCACTAGCTGTGTGACCCTGGGCAAGTCACTTAACCCCAATTGCCTCACCCCCCCCCAAAAAAAGAAAAAAAAGAATGAATCAGGGATTACATTAAAGAAGTTAAAAGCAACTTCATTAGTTGTTTCTCCCCTTCTTGGGAGAAAGAGAGATTAAATACTCCACTTGCCTATTTTTAAAATTAAGAACAGGGAATATAAAACTTTACTCAAAACAAGAGAAGGTCTTGGGGACATAATTCTCTGTGCTGGCCACAGTGCAATATTACCAGAGGAAGAAGAAAACCAAACCAAGGGCTGAATTGAGGGGGAGATTCTCAAAACAAATCCAACAGGGGTCAAGAGAAAAAAAATGGAGAAAAACTGTGTATGTAGTGGGGGAAAAAAGCCAAACCTGAACTGGGCAAGAAAAGAGCTTGGTTTGACTAAGTCCTGAACCTACTGCTACCTCTCTCAGTGATCTTGGACACAGCTGACCCTGTTGACCTCAATTACATCCTAATTATAAACTGAGGGATTTGTTCTTGATGATTCTTAAGGTCCTTTCCAGCTTTGACATTCTATGACTATGGAAATGAATCTTGGTTGAGTCCTTGAACATTCAAGCACTAGCCTGTAGGTTTTCTTTGTAAGTGTACTGGAGAAAGCCTTGGACTTGGAATCACAATACTTGGGTTCAAGGCTTGGCTGTATCACTTAATAGATGCATGGTATTGGTCAAATCAATTCAATTTACATCCCTGGGCCTCAGTTTCCTCATCTGTAAAATGAGAGAACTAGATTAAATTTACTTTTAAGGTCCTTTCCAGCTCAGAGATTCTGGAGCTGGAAGGGACCTTAGGGGTCATGAAACACTCCTTGGAAATTATGGGCTGGCCACTCATCATTATTCCTGCGGCTAACAATTCCCATTATCTGTTTCTTCCCTTATTCCTGTATCACTCAGTCATTGGTCACCAAGAAGCAAACTATCTTCAACTTACTCTTCCATACCCATGTTCCATTCCAAATATTCCTACCCCTTTCAGTGTGCCCTCTGGAATTCCCATTCCATGGTGAATAATTATCCATCCAACATGGATCTCTTTTTCTCATACTACTTCCATCTACTTGTCCTCATTAAGACCTGGCTTCCTTCCAGAAAACTCTAGTCATCCTCTCCAACACTGGCTGTACCTTCCCTCATACACATATCCACCCTGGCTTCTTACTCAGACAGCTACTATCTTAGTTCAAATCCTTAACACTAGATTATTGCAATAACCTTCTAATTGGTCTCCAGGCTTTAAATCTCTTTTCGTCCCAGTCCATCTTATATACCAGTAGCATCAAACTCAAAGAGAAAGGGGGGACAGTCATCCATACATAAGGATCCCAGATGACCACATATTGATCCAGCTTTAAAAGGTAATGTTATCTATGTTTTATTGTATTTTTATTTATTTTGTTAAATGCTTCCCAATTACATTTTAATCTGGTTCTGGTGCACATGGGAGTATAGGCTACACCTCTGTTCTATATAATCACCAAAGTGATTTTCCTTAAGCACAGATCTGACCAAGTCACTCTCTTACTTAATAAACTTCTGTGGCTCACTATTGCCTCTAGCATAAAATTTACACTCATATGTTGAGCTTTTGCAGTCTTTCAAAACCTGGCCTTGCTCTAACCTGTCTTTTCGATTCCATTATACATTATTTCTCTTCTTGTACATATAACATAGTCAAACTGACTTTTTTTTCTGTTCTTCACTCCATTCACCATCTCCATGACTTTGTATTGGCCATCTGGAATGCACTCCCTCCTCACCTCTGCCTCATAGAATCCCTCTCTTACTTCAAGCACTACCTGCCACATGAAACCTTTCCTGACCTCCCAATTGCTAGTACCCCCCAACTACCTTATATTATTTGTATTTGTTTCCTTTATATTTATTTGGTATATTCAGAATATATGTATTTGCATTTGTATATATGTATTAAATATAAACTTGTTATTACTTAAATATGAACTTGTTAACTCAAAGGTAGAGTAGAGATTGTTTCATTCTTTGATTTTGTGTCCCCAACACCTGACACACAATAGGTGCTTTATAAGTGCTAGTTGATTGACTGATTAATTGATCAAGTAATGGAATTCAACCCTTTCATTTTTACAAGTAGAGTCAGGGAGCCAAAAGAAATTAGGCCTGATCTGTACTTACATTATATTGAATATCAAAGATAACTATTATTTTGAGACTTCATGGAAATTAGTATCTTCCCCCACTACCACCACCTCTTTTGTTATTTTTATCCTTTGCCTTTTTCCTTGTAATTAATGAGATTTCCTTAGAGTGAAGAAATCCCTGCTGTTTGAATGGAGAGCTCTCTCCACTAAGGCAAATCCCAACTTGTCTTTGATTTAATAGATAAATCCCAGGAAAGTTGCTGGAGGTAGGTAGTGATTGGGTGACTAGTCCATGGGTTACACAGTAAGTGATGGAGGTGAGATTTTAACCCAAGTCTCCCTCTTTGTCTCTGCCTCTGGGAATCTCTACCTCCCTTGAAGTCCCAGTTCTAATTCCAGTGCTTTTCCTGATTCCCTCAGTGGTTGGTACTGTGCCCCCTTACAGCCCCCATGTTGAAATTATTATGTATATGTATATGTATATGTATATGTATATGTATATGTATATGTATATATATAATATTTCTTATCTGTGAACATGTATACTCCTTGTAGAATGTAAACTCCTTGAAGGTAAGGCCTGTTTTGCCCTTTTATTTGTATCCCAAACACCTAGCACAGTGCCTGGCACATAGTAGGTGATTAAAAAATATTTGTTAATTGTTCCAAGATTCCAAGCCCAAAACTTTATCCACTATGACACATTGCCTCTTCTTGCCTGAAGTTATTGGAGGAACCCCGTCCCTAGAAAATTTTCAGAGGATTATGTGAGATGTGAGGGGGGTGGTGAAGGAAGCTGAGAGACTGCTTTCTGTTCCCGCCTTGTAGCCCTAAAGAATGAGCCTCAGGTGGGAGAACAGGTGGTAAGAGCCAAGAGGGGGACTAGAAGTTCATTGCATAAGGTCTATTGAAGAAAGGATTAGAAGATTAGCTGGGAACTGCCTTGGGACACCCAGGGGATCCCTAAGGTGTGTATATTAGCAGGAAACCCTGGTGTTCCCAATGGCCCTTCAGGTGGAGACCCTCTTTGTCTCATAGACACTAGAACAGATTGGTTCTCTGGTGCTCTGCTGCTCCAACAGGTGCATGGCACAAAACAATGGGAACTTTCCCATCAGGGTCCTCAATGGGTCTCTTCCCTCCCCAAGCCTTCACACTCTACCCCACTCCCTCACTCTAGCCGTCCCCACTTACCTCTGATCTGCAGATTGGAGAATGTCTGGACTGGAATGGTGATGCTAAAAGGGAGCAGAGAATGAGCAAGGTGAGCAAGGGTAGTAATGGGAGAGAAGGTAGGGAATGATGGGAAGGGTGATGGGAGTGAAGACAGAGAAGAAGAGGGATAATAGGAATGGAGGTAGACCTTGAAAGACTGGGGAAGGTAAGGATAGGGAGGACTTTGAATAGAATACCAAAGGCCATGGAAAGAGGGTGGGTATTGTTTATACTAAAAAGTGGGTTCTGGCATTGATGGGCAAGGAGAGAGGCATTGGGAGCCAAATGGGCCAAAGAGTCATGGGAATAAAGTCAAGCAGTCCATAAGCTGGGATGAGAATACAACGAGAAGGTCAGAACTGGGCAGAGCCATAACTAGGGCAGGGTGACTGGGGCTTTGCCCTAGGGTGCCAAAATTTAGATGATGATGACAGTATTTGCATACCTTTACAGGATAGAAGAAACTGAGCTTAACAAGAAATATTAGGTTAAAGTAGAAAGCTATGAGAGAGTATACTTGTGTCATATGACAGACGAACTCTTCCCTGACCCATTCCCATGATAGCCTCCCTAGCTATCTTTGAGGGTATATTTAGTATCACTTGCCATGGAAAATTTTGTGCTGCTTGCCCTGGGTGCCAAAATGGCTATTTAGAGTTCTGAGGATGGGACCTCCTAATCAGGGTCCAGAGTGTGGAAGTTCCAATTAGCATTGACAACTAAAACTTACCGACTTTCTTCCCCTTCCAGCAGTTTCCTGTAGGTGGCAATTTCAATGTCTAGGGCCAACTTGACATTGAGCAGCTCCTGGTACTCCTGAAGGTGCCGGGCCATCTCATCCTTGAGGCTCTGCCCATCCTCCTCCAGCCTCACCAGTGCTTCCTGGTAGCCAGCTGCCTCCCTGGCATGCCGCTCCTCCAGCTCCCGCATCTGCCTCTCCAGGGACTCGTTCTTCCCAAACAAACCCCCATGTCTCATGTCTTTATGGGATCCAGCCTGGGATAACACCCTTGGGTACCACCCCATGGCACCATACCCTAAGCACCCTCAGCCCGGCCCTTTGGGGGTAAGCACAGGGATACATTGTCTTGGTCCATGCCTGTGTGCTCTCATTTGCCCAATTGTGGGATCCTTCCCCCCTCTCTTGCTCACAGTGCCACGAAGGGACTCCAGGTCACAGGTCAGTGACTGCAGCTGCCGACGGTATTCATTGGCCTCGTGCTTGGCCTGGCGCAGCAACTCCACATTCCGCGCGGCAGCATCTGTCAAGTCTGCAAACTGGAGGGGATGGAGGAAAGAATCAGTGGGCTCGGGTGGCGGTGGTGGGGTAGATAAATTCTGGAGCTGGCATTGGGGGGAGTGGGGGAGGGAAAAGATGCAGGCCCAGGGAAGAGTATGGACAAGAGAGGTATGGGTCTAGTGGGGAATTCCTTCCTCAGTGCCCTCCCAAAATTCCATTAACCCTAAAACACCCTAGAGTGTAGCTACCCTCCCATTTCCACCCAAGCTCATTGATTCGCTTTCCTCCATCTCCCGCCACGCCCTTCCTTTCTCAGAAGAGCAAACAGATGCTGTGAAGGGAAGTAATAGATATTAAGTATGAAAAAAACAATGTATCTTACAAACATAGAACTAGGGCAAACTGCTATTTTTGTTAGGGAGGAGATAGAGGGAAATGTACCCACAGGGCAGGGCTAGGGCACCTAGGACTCAGAAGGAAGGGTTTGAGAGGGCAGGCCTACCTTGGACCGGTACCACTCCTCAGTCTCCTGCATGTTACTGGAGGCCATAGCCTCGTATTGGGTTCGGATCTCACGCAGGGCAGCAGTGAGGTCTGGTTTGGCCACGTCAAGTTCCACATGGACCTGATGCTGGGACAGTTGCTCCTGTAGCTCTCGAAGCTCCTGGGTATGGAAGTAGAGAGGTTGGAGGACTGGGTATCTCCCAGGTACTGTATCTGACCAACCTTCCTTTGCCCTCCATATCACCAATCCCTCCTCTTCCCTTCCCAGAGACTGAGGGGCTGGAGATGATAAGCAAAGGAGCCCGGGTACAAGTTAGGGAAATAGGAACAAGAGCTAATCAGGGCCCTAGCCAGAGCAGGAAGGAATCTAAGTGTCCTGAGTATATAGATCCATGAAATGCCTACTGTCTTGTCCTTCTCTCTCTTGCCTGGGGGTAGGGACTCTGGGGCATAGAGCAACGCTGGCACCAACATGGAAAGCTAGCTGCTACGGGAGGTGAGGGGTGAGGGTTCAGAGGGTGATTGTGTGCATGGAGGAAATTCTGTGTG